GATGCCACACATTCTATCTTCATACTGCAAGAGCAGCTATGCAAATAAAACCACAGAAAAGGGAACTTTCTTGTAGCCAGATTGATAGAAAATTGCCAATGGGAATCAGAGTTCTAGATTCTCCTCTGTCATTGGTTAACTGTTTGACCATGGACAAGGGAACTTAACTTTGCTGTGACTCCATTTTCTCATCTACAAAGAGATAATACTTAGGAGGTGTCATAGACAGAATGTTGGCATTTGGCAGACCTGAATTCAAATCCTGCCTTAGCCACTATGTGACCCTAGCCTTAAATTCTCTGTGCCTCAGTTTCCTAGCTGTAAAATAAGGGGGTTGAACTCTATGGCCTCTGAAGTCCCCTCCAGCTCTACATCTAAGATTTATGATAATAATTTCCATATTCCCTTCTCCTACCTCATAGAGTCAATGGGGAAAATGACTGAAATAAGACATGGAAATTGTCTTAAATTTTTGGAAGTATTTAGACATACTGTTTTTCTCTCCTCTTCTCTTTCATCTTTATTTTCTCTTCCCCTCTACTCCCACCTTCAAGTGCTATTAAGGACCAGCTTCATATCTCACTCATCAAGAGCCTATTAACTGAAGGCTCTTTCCTGAGTAAAGTATTTTTGTGCTAGGCTGGTGTCTCAAGTGTCTCTTTTTGAGCCCTACCCACCTGCACTTCTGTTACTATCTCCAATGGGACTGGGAAAGGCTGAGGGGAGGGGAGAAGGATGAGAGGAGGACACACCAGAGTGGTCCAGGGTATGCCACCGGAATTGAGCTGACTCTCAAAGTCTAACCAACTCACTAAACCACCTCTTATCTACAAAATCCACACCTCTATTAATTTCCCAGAGTGAAAAAAAAAATTGCTGTTCTTATCAACCTTGGGAATAATAGACAGGTCAACCACAGTGCCCAGAATTTACAAAAGTGCTGCCCTGGGAAATCAGGAGTCCCAGAGTATGACCAGGCCCTGACACAGATCTAAATGTGGCGCCTAATTTCACTAAAGAGATTCAATAAGCTTTCTAAACCTCTCTCAAAAAATTCCATGTAAAATCATGCCTCACAGGATGTGGACAGTAATATTGGTCTTGCTGTATGTTGGGGGTGGAGGGGGAAAGGGGGCCTTTGTGCTTTATTTAGCGTGACCCTCAGCCCATTTTTAGAAGGGGGGAAACGCGAATGAATGGCTCTTTGACACAGTCAGTGGAACACTAGGAGGCAAAGAAGTAAGGTTCTGGTGTGGACTGGAAAAGCCTTTCCCTAGTCAAACAGGATGGGGCCAAGAAGCTCCATAACCATGTACAAATACACAGTGGTGGGTAAGGTGAGGATCCAGTTTTAGTGGTCATCTGACACGGTCCTCGGGAGCAGAAGGAGCCTTGGCGGTCTTTGCAAGGTAAGAGAGGAAGGAAAGAGTATAGGCATTTCGTAGAGCACCTCCTACATGCCAGGTGCTATGCTAAGTGCTTTACAAACATTATCTCATTTGATCTGATGACCTGTTTCTTAGTGACCCTAATTTCTAAGAGAAACATCCAGCTTTCACCATCTGCTGGCAGGGTTGTGGGAATTTTACATTCTCAGCTTGCTGTTTTCCAGACAGATCCAAAGACTATAACCTGGGCTACCTGGAGTCTACTTGGGGTATGATTCATGTGAAGCCACTCGGACATTTACACAGCTGTGCCCCATGTATCCCCTCTGCCTCAGCACAAGCACTACCTACAGCGTGAAGACTTCCTTGATGCTCACAACTGTGAGGATCTATTTCTATCCCAAACTACCATGTGGTTAAATATCTTTATTTGAATTTATTTTCTATCTATCTACATACACACACACACACATACACACACATGCACATACACATGCCTACATGCACTCTCACTTGTTGTCTCTCCATTGGAATATAAGCTACTTGAAAGTGGAGATTATTTCATTCTTTGCATTTGTCTCCATAGTACCTGGCACAGAGTATAGCCTTAATAAATGCTTACTGATTTATTGACTATTTGTTAATAAGCAGCCAAGAGACAATATTGCCTCGTGGATAGAGTGCTGGCCTTATAGTCAAGAGGACCTGAGTTTGAATCCCACCCCCCATATTTTTTATCTATGTGACCCTGGACAAATCATTTGCCTTTTGTAGCCTCAGTTTCCTCATCTGAAAAGAAGAATAATAGCAGCTACTGTAAAGGGTTATAAAGATGAAATGAGATTATGTGAGCAAAGTGCTTTGTAAACGGCAAAGCCCTTTATAAACTCCACGGATTATTTATTTAGAGTGAAGGGGAAAGCAGCCAATGTCTTGGCTTATAACTGAAGTAAGGGAAAATCTTGAGTATTTCATGAATGCTCAAGTGGAGGAATGAACACTCCCCATTTCTATAAAATAATGCACAATTTATTGCTTGAAGAGGAACCGAGTCTCTGGCTTTTGCTCACTGAAAAGATGCACTTTTCCCTCACGCTCACATGACAATCACAAAGAGTCGGGGGGAACCCCGCTAACAATTCCAGAGTCCGTGTCCAGATCTCAAGCAGGGAGATTTCCCCGGAGGGCTCAGGCTCTGAAATCCCCTTCCTCTGATGGCCAGCCAAAGGCTTTATTTGTCAACCTTCAGGGCACAGCAGGAGCATTTTCTGCACGGCCTCTGAAGGGGGAAGGCATGGAGGACAGGGGAAGATGAGCATGCTGGGTTATTTATTCTCTGAGGCTTTTGAGGCATTTCCAAAGGATCTTAAAAACTTCCCATCTCCATGTTACGAAGGCATAAATGCAAACACAGTGAAAACAGGGAGACTATTTACAGTCTCTTGGATACTTAAGATACTTGGAAATAAATCTAATTTGTATAGTGTAGGTAATACAGTTATCCCTTCCACACTGAAACTTTCCCCATCGAGGTTTCAATATATTGTGGGTCAGCATAAGAAATCAAATGGGAAATTTTGGGGACTTTTGCGAAAGCTGCAGAGGACATATGAAAGCCAGCAGACAACACAGAAAAAGTTTAGAAACTCAGAAATACATAAAATATGTGCATTGTATATTATTATTATTATATTAATTTTATCTTTTAATACTATAAACATCCCATAAAGGAAAAAGAAAAAAATTCTCTGGTATGAAGAGAGGGCCAAAAAATTTTACAAGGACTTTCCATATCATGGGGGTGCCATGCCCCACCCATGATGTGGAAGGGATGATTGTAATTGTTTTTTGGAGGGAGGAGTTCAGACCTATGATTTTGTCAGGGTAAAGAACTCCCAGTGTGCAAATTCCCTTCACTAATGCAGATAAGCAACTTGCCTGTAGTTTACAATCTTAAGAATTACCCCGGGCACTGAGAGATTAAGTTATTTGCTCACAGTCACATAGCTTCTATGTGTCTAAGGCACAATTTGAACCCAGCTCTTACCAACTTCCAAGGGTGCCCCTATATAAACTATGCCACAATGACTATCAATTAGACAAAATAATAATCTACACTTCTGTATATTATCTTAGTTAAGCCTCCTAATGACCACGTGTAGAAGGAAAAGTCCAATTCTAGTTGCTTAGGGTACCGAGATGTATTCTTAGAATTCTGACACCAAGGGTACATAAAATGCCTACTTGTACACCCAGTACTGTTCCTTCCAGTAATTTACAATCTAGCTGGAGTGAGGGGAGATCAGGAGAACAAAAAGTCTTTAAGGAAACAACGGAGAATAATACAAGAGAATATCTACGTAAGTGCTACGGATGCTATGAGACAGATTGTATGTATTGCAGCCAGAAGGGACCGCCCCTGTTGTAGTGGGGCAAGGTCTATGAAAAAGTGAGGCGGGCCTTTGATTTTCTGAGAATATTCTCTACCACCCACACCTGCTGGAAAATCCCCATACCAGAGTAAATTACATGCAGCTCCAATTGGAAAGCCAGGCTGGTTGCTATTTGTGTTTTCAAGTGTTTACAAGCTCTTTGGTAAGAACCGCTATGAAAGCATAGACTTCCAGAGGAGACCCCAGGATCCTGAACTTAGGCTTTTGTGTTCTCTGCTTACCCATAATTTACCATACATCATGGTCACCTACCCAACAAGAGGGATATGCAATGGAGGCTGAGTTGGAGATCATTTGTTAATATTATTATGGATTTATTCATAGCAACCTTATATTCACAGAAGAGGAAGTGCAGCAGAAGGAATGTTTACTTAATGTCCAATACTGAATGAGGTGGTAGTTGAATATAGAATCATTCATCTCCCTCATTCATTCATTCAACAAGCACTGACGAGTCACAATGTCCAAGCGCTATGTACAAAGACAAAAAAAAAAGAACTAAACAGTCCCTACCCTCATGAAGCTTCCATTCTACAGAAAGTAGACATGGTTCTTTTGAGTCAACCATTCTGAAAGATTAACTGATAGTTCTGCAAAACTGTGCTTTTTAAAAATATCTCTTAATCTTTAATCCTCCCTTTTTAATACGGGAAAGTCTGACAGGAAAGAAATAATTGGAAGTTAATGTGATGGAAGGAAAGAAGGAAGGAAGGAAGGAAGGAAGGATTTGTTAAGTGCCTACAATATGCCAGTGATTGTGCTATAAACACTTTACAAATACTATCTCATTTGATCCTCACAACAACCTTGGGAAGTAGGTGACATTATCATATCCATTTTACAGTTGAGGTAACAAACAAAGGTTTGCTGACTTGCCCAGATCATACAGCTAGAAGGTATCTAAGGTCAGATTTGAATTCAGGTCTTTTGAACTCCAGGGCCAGCACTCTATCCACTTAGTTATCTATCCACTTATCCTCATTCTCTACTTGGCTTCCCTGGGCCTCAGTTTCTTCATCTGTGAAATGAGTGGGTAGACCAGATGATCTCTGGTGTCCTTTCCAGGTCTTGATCTATGATAGCTAGGATAGCTGAATGATCCCATGCACCAGCCCACATGAGGCTGAGGATTCTGGGGACCCTATAGTAGGCCTCTTACCTGCTGCATCCTCAGGGCCTCCAGTTCTCTCTCCAGCCGGGTCCTCAGCCTTCGTTCCATCTGCTCTCTCTTCTCACATGCGGCCTGCAGTTGGGTCAGGGCCTGCTGCAACTTCTCTACCTTCTCCACATAAGCTTGTTTCTTCCGTAACTGAGGGGAAGAGAAAAGAAAATGAGAGGAGGAGGGGTTCAATTCACTAGACATTTATAACACTTATGAAGCACCTACGGTGTCCTGTGTTGACGGACACTCTACCAGATGCTGAGTCTACAAAGATGAAAAAAACACAATCCTTACTCTCAAGGAATATACAATCTAAAGAGGGATAGAACATACACACAATTAAGGTAGCATAGTCTAGGAAGAACTGGGCATGAGCAAAGGAAAAATATAAAGTAGTCTATAAAAATCTAAGGAAAGTGAAAAAACTTTCACTTTTGGGGAAAGAGAAAAATTAGGGAAGGCTTCATGGAGGAGGCAGATTCTGAGGTGCACCTCTGAGAGATTTCAATAAGCAGAGATATAGGGAAGCACATGTAGACTGTTTGAAAAAGCATCAGACAATGGTCACTATCATGCTTAGAAGCATTATTTACTTTTTTTTTGTTATTGGGGTTTTTTTTGTCAAGACCTAAGATTTCATTGTTTGGGGGGCAGGGGAGAACTTTTAATGTGGAAACTCTATCCAACGATGCAGATTACAATAATTCATCTGTAATTTGTGGTTTTTGAACTGCCTGGAGAACTGAGAAGCTAAGTGACTTGGCCGTGGTCATAGTTAATATATATGAGAAGGCAGGATTGTAATTAAGATCTTTTTTCTGCCCATTTCTCCATGCTACTGCTCAAAGGGGTATGGCATTCAGATTTTTAAGACCCTGGAGGGCAGGGAATATATCCTTTTACCTAGTTTTGTACAGCAGTTAGCACAAGGCCTAATTAATTCCTTAATAATGATAGTGCTAAAGGACACCTTTCACCAAAAACTATCAAAGGTTCCAAAGTACTTTAAAGACAATGAATTGCTAACCCCTCAAGAAGGAAGTGGGGAAGCTTCATATTTAAGAAATAGACAAAACTGACAAGTAAGGAGACTGAGGCCCACAAGGTGGAAAGTCAAGACAAACACACCAGAAGGTCTCATCAGGAATGGTGCTGGAATATGACCAGGGTCTCTAGACTCCCACTTGCCCCCCTGTAATCACCAGAGCATACTTCCTCCCAAGGAGCAGATTAGTTAATGACCATCAATCACAGGCATATACATCCTGGGAATTAGCTGATACTCAAAATCAGGCTGAGATGGCTACACAAAACTGGCCCTGAGAAACCAGATGCCATTTCCTGTCATTCGGCACCTGGCCATGGAGATGCCTGGGGCTGGTTTAGAGTATAAATTCTAACTGTTCTGACCTCTTCATGTTTGTACATGCAAGTGATTTATGGGCTCCCTGCTATGTGAGGATTCTGCAAACCAGCAGCGGAATCCTGAGAGAGATCCCAGCCTCAGCAAAGATGCTGGCCCCACTGGGCATTGCCTCCCCTAAGAGGGACTCCTGCAGGGGTGTGAGCCATTCCTGACCTTTCACAGAAGCACAGGGACAGGCACTTGAAGGCCTGCTCTAAGCCTGATTTTCGGGTCGGTTTTCATCCTGTAGTCCTCCTCCTGTGCTTCTGGGTTACTAAGAGCTATGAGTTTAGGCCCTAGAAATGAGGAACTACTGGGGTCACGGAACGAAACAGGATTAAAATGGGAACCAGATTGTGGTGACTCTCTGACTGATTAGAGAAACTTCTGAGAAGATATGTGTGGCACCATGGATATTTTAGAACAGAGGGGGCATCATATAAGAGGTAGCTATGATAGTACAAAAAAAGGGCACTGGGGCCAAAGCACCCCGTATTTGGATCCTGGCTGGGCAAGTTGGTTTCTTCATGTGTAAAAGGAGGAGGTTACCTATGCAGATTTGCTGTACAATCCTGTCCTGCTCTAAATTTATTATTTTATGATTTCTAAAGTCCATTCCAGTTCTAAATTTTATGAACCCAATAATAACTCACTTTCATTGTGCTTTACAATTTACAAAGCACTTCTCCCAACTTTCGAAGTAAGTCCCAGTATCATTTCCATTTTACAGATGAAGAAACTGAGCCTCAGAAGTGATAAGTGGTTTCTCAAAGGTCACATAGCTAATAAATGACAAGCCAGCCCTTGGACTCAAGCCTTGAGAATATAAGACCCATGCCCATTCCATTATAACAAGTGGCCTCTCTACACCCCAATCATCACAATGATTGTTTATATAGTACCTGGCTCCAAGAGGCTCACAACTAGCTTAAATAGAAGTTCTGGACCAAAATTTTCTGAGGACTACATATGATTTGGGAATGAGATTTGGAGCTGGAAGGGGCCTTCGTGGCAAGTTGGCCCAACTCCTCCTATTAGAAATGAGGAAATTGAGATTTCAGCAAGAGTCAATGAATTGCCCATATTCACAGAGCTATTAAGTTTCACAGGTAAGATCTGAATCCATGTCTCCTTGGTTCCAGCCTTTTAACTGTTTCATCATTCTGCCTTTCAAGGAGTATCTTGCCTTGAATAATAACTATAAAGTATGGAAAATTTATTTAATGATGCTAAGGATGAAGACTCCATCCATTAGATCTACTCACTTTCCCATAGCATGCCTTTGAAAAACTCTTCCCTTGGACATCAACAGGTCTAATAACCATTTCCTCTTTGTTTGTTTGTTTTGCTTTTCTTTTGGTGAGGCAATCAGGGTTAAATGACCTGCCCACGGTCACACAGCTAGTAAATGTCAAGTGTCTGAGGTCACATTTGAACTCAGGTCCTCCTGACTTCAAGGCTGAAGCTCTATCCTCTGTGCCACCTAGTTGCCCCTAATAACCATTTATAACTACTACTTACTTAGTTGATGAATTTCTATACTATCTATAGCACTGCAAGCAAGATATTTGGGAAATACTTTGGTGCTTGCAGGACCAAAACATGAAGTCTTTCCATGCTTTCAGCATTCTGGAACTGTAACTCCTATATCATAGGTAGTTTAGTATGGTAGGAAGAGTGTTGAACTTAAGAGTCAGGTCCAGAATTCAAATCCTGGCTCTTCCACTCACTACCTGTGTGACTTTAATTAGAGTTGGGCTTCAGTTTCCTCATCTCTAAAATGAGAGAGATTGGACCAGATGAACTCTAAGGCTCTTTCTGGCTCTAAACACATAATCCTATGAAAAGATCTTAATAGCTGGGGAACTGAAATTCTCCAATGATGTAAAAGGAAAAACTGTGGGCCCTGGTTGGAGCCAGTAGTTTCTAATTCTCTGGACATGCTGTAAATCCTTGTCAGAGAGGAAGCAATGAAAAAGTAACAGGCCTGGCATGGAGAGGCCAGCAGGCTCAGCATCTAGGGTGTCCTGGGGTGTGACTGGGCTTCTATGAGATGGAGAACTTTCCTGAAGGACAGGCAGTCCCTGCCCATATTATATAAGGAATCGGGCTCTTTGTCCACAGAGAAAGCCTGTTTGTTACAAAGGATTATCCAGCCATGTGGATTTTACAGACCTTCTTCAGAAGTTCACATACAGTTTCAAGGTTTTGTTTCCTTCACTGGCCCTTCCAGTTGCCTGGATCACCAGCAAAAGGTACGACCTCATATTCCAAGAAATTCACTTGAGCGTCACCTCCTCTCCCCACCCCACCCCACCAGCCGAGAGCAGGGCATTTCTGTCTTCTTCACAGCCCACCATAAAAGTGCCTCTGCTACCCCAGGCACCACCTCCAATGACTTCAGCAATCACGTTTTTTGCACCTGTTTTCTCATGGCATAAGTTTCAAGCAAGAAGAAGCCCGCTTGAAAAGTCATCTAGGGGCAGCTAGGTGGTGCAGTGGATAGAGCATAGGCCCTGGATTCAGAAGGACCTGAGTTCAAATCCAGCCTCAGACACATAACACTTACTGGCTGTGTGACCCTGGGCAAGTCACTCAACCCCACTGCCTAGTCCAAAAAAAAAAAGTCATCTAAAGCCTGCTAAAGAAGTCATGTAGTATAACCCCCTGATTTTACAAATGAAGAAATTGTGGACCAGAGAAGGGGTGGGACTTGCCCAAAGCCACACAGGGAGTAAGTGGCAAAGCCATCCAGGTCAACCAGTCAAACCATCAAAAAGCACTTTTTTGTTTGTTTGCTCTTTTTTTTCCCTTTGTATCCTCAGTGCCTAGCACAGTACCTGGCACATAGCTGACACTTAATAAATGTTGCTGATAAACTGATTAGCTGATTAAATGCTTACTATCTGTGCTACATGCTGGGTCCTCCAACTCTATATTGGGTACTCTTACAGAGCCATCCCTCCATTCTTGCTCCCTGGCTGCAGGAGGTATTTTCTATAAGAGCATCTTCGCTACTTAAGATTCTGAGCTAACACTTCTTCTATGAAATGGGCTCCTTGTCCATAAGGGTGCCATTCATTGTGAGAAAACCTCTGGGTGTAGAGCTGTAAGAGCCTCAGATGTCAGATGCCATTGATAGGCCAGGCCTCCATCTTCCTACTTCCTCTTTTTATGTGTCTTTTCTCCGCTCTGATTCCCCAGCTAGGGCCTCAGGAAGAAATAATTCCAACTCCACCCAGCTGGGCTTAAAGGAACAGTATTAGTTTAAAAAAATATTTTAAACCTAGAAAGGTTTGGTTCCTTTAGAAAATGTCAAGAACATGATGCTTGAGAAGGGTCAGAATTTCCTGGACCATAGTCCTGGGAATGGCTGCGCCAAATCCCCAAAGTTGGATAGAGTTTTGCTGTACACTGTACTCCTTCATCTGATTCTCTCCCCCTCTGCAAACCTTTCCTCCACCCCACCTCTTTTCTTCTTGAGACATTTGCCTTATTCTGTGTAATTTAAATGAGACTGAGGTCCAAAAGACACAGCAATTGCATATTTCCCAAATTTATTCCAAGACTGTTTTCTCTTTGCAAGTCCTGTTGATTTCCTGGCCCCATGTTCATTTGCAGCTGGACACTTAACAACTCCATGGTTCTCGTGTCAAAGGTTTTAGGCTCATTAATGCCTGCAATCACAGCTGCCTTTTACAGTGTGTCTGGCTCGGGGCTATATAAACTCAATTTGTATTCTTTTTATTTGGGAGCTTTCCCCATTTGCCATCTCCCCCTCCCCACAACAGCTTCAAAATTGGCACCAATTAAGGACCGGGGCTGAGCTGGCCAGATGGAGACAGCCACACAGGAGGTTCTCTCAGCTCAGCCTCTCCCCTACTGGAGTCGTGGAAGGTCTTACCTCTTCTTCCAGTTTGATGACCTTGCCTTGCGCGTTGTTCAGAGCCTGGTCCAGGATCTCAATATGCCTTCGCTGATCCTCACTAGCAGTACGCGCTGCTGCTAACTCCATCTCCAGCTTCTCCTTTTCCTTCAAGTACTCTTTGTCTGGAATGGAGACAAGAACAAGATTGTCTGTCTCGTAACCAAGCACTCACTTGGGGCCCCCTGACAGCCTTACTTTTGGGAAACAGCAGAGGGTTGAATTACCTACCACACTTCCTCTTGGTTGATAGAGGTGGTATGTGTGGGAAGGAGAAACACAGCTAAGTGGTCTACTGGAGAGAATGAAGGACTTGGAGTCGGAAAGACCTGGATTCAAATCTGGCCTTAGGCGCTTATTAGTTGTGTGACCCCTGGCAAGTCACTTAACCTCTCTATGCCTCAGTTTCCTCATGTAAAATAGGGATAATAAGTTAACATGTATACAGTACTTTGCAAACCATAAAGCATTATATACATGCTAGCTATTATTATAGTTATTGTTATTGTTTGTCCTTCATTCTTGAAGAGGACCATGGCATCAGGAAGGTGATTTAGTGAATTAGATTTAAATGAGGGACAATTGGGCAAAGTCACCAACCTCACTTTCTCCTCCAGAGCCATCTTGGTCCAGTGGCACAATATAGATCGGGATGATTGGAGATGGCCCCAGATGCAGTGGGAGACCTTGGCCTTTTTAAGCTAAGGTCTTTCCCAGATCTCAGTTTGACTGAGATTGACTCAGTTCAACACCCATTCTATGATTAAGGCTAGGTAAGAAATGAGGCAAAGAATGGCATCTTCTATATAGTAAAAAAAAAAAATCAATCTGGGAGGGGAAGACCTTCAGGTTTTCTGGCCAAAACCAGAAACAGTTGCTATTTATTCTGAGCCATCTGGTGTCTAGGTGAGGTCCGGGCTAGGACCTATTGTCGGCCAATCAGTGAGAGCCAGAGTGATTTGGGTTTATGGCATGGTCCTTAAGAAAGAAATCTGGCCATAAACCCCAGGGAATCTCATGAAGTTTCAGTGATCAAAATTTACATTCCTTTGGGCAGAGCACCCACATACAGGATATCACTGCAAAACCACCACTAATGCATGATTAATCACAGGTTATGATTCTATGGGTCTCAGAGATCCACAGTTTGTGAGGTTATTGACTTTTCTAAAAAACAAACAAACAAAAAACCTCATGCTTGTACAATCTATAAGCATTCATTAGGCACCTAGTATGGTGCTAGGTGCTGGGGGTTCAAAGACAAAAATAAAACAGGTCCTTCTTTCAAGGAGCTTACATTCTATAAGGGGAGACAGAAATATAAATAAGCATACACCAAAGAAATACATACATACATACATACAAAATAATTTAAGGAGGAGTCACTAGCAGTTGCGGAGATCAGGAAAGGTCTTACATGAAATATGATGCCTAAGTTGAGCTCTGAAGGAAACTATGGATTATAAAAGGTGAAGGTAAGAAGTGGTATATCCCAGGCATGAGGAACAACCAACCAGAGTCGTGTAGTAGATACTGGAATGACCATGAAGACAGGAAGATCTGGGTTCAAAATGTCCTTCTGACATACACTACCCTTGTGACCATGGGCAAGGTATTTACCGTACCACAGGCAATTTTCTAAGACTATCTGATCTACAGCAAAGGGCACTACACTATTAAGTGTAGTTCTTGTCCACAAGGGTGTGACTCATTTTGAAAATGCCTTTGGGTAGGAGTTCCCATGCCAGAAATTGACTACACTCATAACATAGGTCTAGACTAAAACATGTATGTTTAAACATACATATTAATACATATACATGTATACCTATATATATGTGTGTGTCTGTGTGTATGTATGTATACATGTGTATATGTATACATAAATATATGAAAACTTTGAACTTTTGAAAGCATTTTTATATTTACTATCTTACTCTATCATAATAATCCTATGAGGAAAGTGGGTCAGGCATTATTATTCCCATGTATATATGAGAGTTAAAGTGCCTTGTTCAAGGTCAAATAACGTCTTGCTCAAATTCATACAGCACGGTGATGTTTGCAAAGAGCGTTCCTCACAACAGCCCTGTCAGGGATGAAGGGAAAGCATTATTATCCACATTTAGTAGGGGAAGACGTTAAGGCTCTGAAATGTTAAGTGACTTGCCCTCTTTCCACTGAAAGCACCACCATCTTCCCAGTCATTTTTGACTCTTCTCCCACATCCAAGGAGCTACCAAGTCTTATTGATTATACCTTTGCAATACATTCTGACTTAACTCTATTCTCTGAGATAATGACAGTCCAGCAATTCACCTGCCCTACTCTATGCATCCCCTCTCTAGGGGATACATGGCGGCATGGAACAAGATGTATTTAAATGTTTTCTTGCTCGTTTAACTCTTTTTTTTTATATCAACCTAAGTTGTATTTGTATCTGAATTCCCTCTATACATTCATGTTCTCTGTTTTATACAGAAAACTCTATCTGGGGTGCTTGTTTATTTAACCAACGCTATCAAGTAGCCAGCATTAAATGCTTTCTTCACCCTCTGTGCACATGGCAGCCTGGAATAATTGACAGATTACTAGACTTGCTGTCGTAAAGACCCAGGTTTGAATCTCATTTCTTATACTTATTAGTCATTTCCTCTCTCTGAGCCTCAGTTTCCTTATCTATAGAATCAGGATAATAATGCTTATAATGACTACTCCACGTGATGCTGGGAGGTTCATCTGAGATAATCCATGTAAAGCACTTTGCCAACTTCATCACACTGATTTAATGTCAGCTACTATTATCTATGATTATTACTGCAGATCCTACTGAAATAACAGACAGATATGTAAAGCTGAATAGCAACCATACTTCCTAACGATAATGGTATCCCTTAAAAACAGAATCTGAGATGCCCAGATCTTGCGCTGGAATGGTGCACCAGTTATGAGCCTATCAAATTCTAGTGAGATAAGTGTTTACTTTTTTCTTCCCTCTTTTCAGTGCCAATTTACTTGATACCTCTGGGTTGCCAGCCCAAAGCCTCTTGGGCCAATGTATACATAGGACGTCACAAAAAAAAGGTCAGCTGTAGCAAACCCACAGGCTTTGGTACCAATCTCAGTGTCACTGAATCAAACATCTACATCTCTCTTTTTTTCCCTCTATGGAAAGTTATTGAAGTCCAAGGAACAACTTCATGGGCCTGGACAGTGTCTCCTCTGGCCAGGTGCCCAATGGCCTTGTCAAGTCTCTGGAGTGCATCCAGACCTCACCAAGCAAGCATTCCTGTCAATGAGTCTGGCATTTCAGCCCAGCTAGCTTCGTGCCCAGCTGAACATAAAGTTCTTTTTCAACTAAATGGAGGACATTGCCCAGCCTGTCATAGTGGGGCCATGGGAATGGGTGAGGCTTGTACCTGAAATGTCAAAATTACAACTGAAACTCAAGAGGAAGGACTGTAATAAAGGCTCCCTTTTTCTTAGGTCAGTATTACTATTACTATCATGATGTCTCATTGATAGGTGGTTCCAGATAATGATTATAATGAGTTAATGAAACTGATAATAATAGCAGTTCACATTGACATGGTGCTTTGGAGTTTTGCAAAACGCTTTCTATATATTACCTCAATTGATCCTCAAAACAACTCTGAGGAATAAATGCTATTATTATCCCCATTTTATAGATGAAAATACTGACACTCACTGAGATAAAATGATTTCCCAGGACTAGTAAATGTCTGAGTTAGAATATGAACTTAGGTCTTACTTACTGCAAGTCCAATTTTATTTCTCAGAGACTTTTTTTATTTAATTTCCCAAATGTGTTAATTTTTTCAATGTTGTATTTAAATCTCAACACTGAGCATCAATACAAACAAATACCCTTGTTTACTAATTTACTTAAGTACAATACATAAAGTATCCTAACACTATTTCAGATATTCCTTCTGAGTTCCCATTAGGATTGTTTGTCTACTCTTTCTCATTTACTTTTGTTCATGTGATCATAGTTAGCATCTACTCCAGCCTTTTGGGGATGTTGAGCTTAGAGAAGAAGATGAAGATGCCATAAAGCATTCATAATGCTAACATGTAGGACAGAGATTGGACTTGAACTTGCTGGTCCCAGAGAAATTACAAAAAGAAGGAATTGAGGGGCAGCTAGGTGGCTCAGTGGATAAAGCACCAACCCTGGAGTCAGGAGGACCTGAGTTCAAATCCAGCCTCAGACACATAACACTTACTAGCTGTGTGACCCTGGACAAATCACTTAACCCCAACTGCCTTGCCCAAAAATAGATAGAAAATTAATAGAGAGATAAATAAATAAAAGGAAAAGGAATTGGCAAGGAAGAACTTCTTGGCTTTCGAGCTGTCCAAAAATAGAATGGTCTGCCTTTAGGTAGTGAGTTTCCCTTGCCTGGAGGTCTTCAGGTTTTCTCTTGGATATGGCAGAGAGGATATTTCCTCAACATGGATGCCCTTGTAGGTCTCTTTGACCATTGAGATTCTAAGATCTTTTAAATGAAGACAGTAAAACCTCACATGGGAACCACGTCTCTTCAGGGATAAAGGACCTAATCTGTTCCACGTGCCTCTGAGAATGAAAAGGGTCAAAAACTATTTTTATAATAATGCTAAGAAGCTTTAAATTTCTGATATGGTAAACTACAACAGATATAACCCACATAAACATAAGCTCTTTGCAGGGAACCTTAATGATTTTTTAAAAGTGTAAGGGGGTCCAGAGACCAAAAAGTTTGAGGGATGCTACTGTTATAGCAACACCATCCTCTATCCAATCCCCCAACTGCTAGAACCTTCCTTCCCAAAATACTTCATCTTTATGTGTATTTGTTAACTATCCATTTATATTTTATCTATTTTCCCATGTACTTGTCTCTGCCATTAGGTTGTAAGCTCCTTGTGAGTTGGAATTGTTTCATACTCTGTTTTTCTTCATTCTTGTTTCCTCAGCATCTAGCACAGCTCTTTCTGGCACATAAAAAGGGCTTACTTGGTAATTTGTTGATTGATTTAATTGATTCATGCTTCTGGTAGGTGAATGAACTAGGCAGCGCTCAACTCCTCCAAGATGCCATGACTGTCTTACCACTAT